CAAACCAACTAGGCCAGTTTTGCTAACAAGCTCCTTTTTCTGACAAAAAAAGTTTGCCCTTCCCATTTCATCCCTATAGTCTCTCCTTAGTGGCCTGGCAGGGCCCAGAAGGGCAAAAGCGATCCAGGCTAGGATGCTTGCCACGGGGAATGGGTTGACCACGAGATAAACAGATTGCTGAGCTCAAGGGAACTTTGCACAGATCTAAGCAGGACTTTTCCTACATTCGTAAGAGCCCCGCCTCGAGTGAAACCGTGCCACTGACAGAGGCATTACAAGCCAATGTTGGCAATGCCTCCTCTTGCCTCTCCCTTCGTGCCCCTTGGAGTAGGGGGGGGGGAGGCTCCCCAGGGACCTGTAACCATGGCAGCTGTAAAGTGGATCTGGCCACATCTGGAGGCAGAGGAGAAAAGCTTAGGAGTTCAGGGAGCAAAGCAGATAAAGAACTGATGGGGGGGAGAGAGATGCCTTGTCTAAGAGGTTCTTCTCATCCTTCAGAAAAATTAAAGCTCGAGGTCTGGAGAAATCCTGCACCCGCACGCAGAAACTCAAAGCCCCCCCTCGTCCTATGATGGCAAACCAAAGACTTGTCTATCATTAAACCTCTGGAGTGTCCACAGATCCTGTTCCACTCAATACTAGCTACTGGCCCTCAAATGGGGTGGGGGGAGATAGGTGGCATTGTGGCCCTTTACCCACTGTACTAGACAAAATCACAGGATATGTCTCAGTCCTGAGCACAGATATTTTACTCCTGGAACTGCAAACATGCCTCACTCAATCATAAGGTAACTGCGTGGTTGTTTAACTTACCAGGGTAGCAAAATTCTGTCTCAATTTCTTGCAATCATTACTGTATTAGAGCCGCCTCTCCCCCCTTTGTCTTAACCCTGTTGTTTCGCTAACTGCTGATTCTTCACACATTTTTTTTCAGTATTGTTTCCTGCTAACCACTCTGAATATACAAGTAAAAAAATGATACGTATCGTTTTTAAAAGCCCTGCCCACTGACTCCCACAATTTTTGGCCAAATCACGCTCTTTGCATCTACATTTGACACTTTCTAAAAATAGCAGAGGGGTGAAGAAGGGTTTCAAAACAGGTTACAAGGACTTATTTTCCCCCCTCACAACACACCTGTAACTCAAGCACTTCCTGGAAGAGTTCTCATGATCCAGTTAGTGCCGGCCCCACTGTTCTCCCCACTGCACGCCCCCCCTCTAATAACAAGAATATGGGAATCTGCCATATATTGGGTCTAAACAAGGGAGCCAGAGTGGTGTAGAAGATACAGCACTAGACTGGGACTCATGGGTTCTGGATTCAAATCTTCACTGGGCCACAGAACCTCATTTCAGGCGTGGCAATGTTAAAACCACTCTTTAATATACGGTGGTGCCCCGCTGGACGACAACCTCGCAAAACGACAAATCCGCATGGCAATGAGGTTTTGCGATCGCAATAGCGATTCGCAAAACAGTGTTTCCAATGGGCGATTTTCGCTGGACGATGTTTGGGTCCGTGCCTCGCAAACCATTTCTCGCAAGATGACAATTTTGGCACTGATCGGCGCTTCGCAAAACGGGTGTTTTCGGGACCAATGCTTCGCAGGACAGCCATTTACTGGAAAAATCATAGCTTTGACTATGTGGACTTTTGTTGATACTGTCCAACCATCTCATCCCTCTTAGGGCTACCCTAATACAGATGAGACAAAAAAACTCAAACAAACCAATCTGGCTAGATAAACCAACCTTGGATTCCCAGAGGTTCTTGGACTACAAGTCCAAGAAATCCTAGTTTTGGGGAGTGTTAATCCAAGAACTTCCGGGGAGCCAAGATTAGGAACCCTTGGCTCCAGAATCTTAGATGGAGAAGCCGGTTTCCTGTCACCTGCCACTCGAACCTTGCTTAAACTAGAGGGAATAAGAATAAACTTGGGAGCTTCTGCATCCTAAGAAGACGCTCGACCAGTGAGCTACTGTTTCCACCCCTGGAAGAGAATGAATTTGATTCACCCACCTCTGTATTGCCTATTCCAGTCTTTTTTTTTTAATCCTCTGCCTTCCAGGTATGCTAGATTATACTGCCCATTATCCCAATGCCTGTAGAGTGGTCTAACAGGAGAGCAACTGTCTCTCCGGGGCCTCAGCAAGAAGAGCCCTCTGCATCTTTTTTAACTGGCGATGCCAGGAATTGGACCGTCTTACAAGCCACGCCAGAGGCAGCCCTTTCTCTCAACTGGAACGGCTTGCAAGATATAATTCCTGCTTCCTCATTCTGGTGCCATTCATCAGGGGCTCCCCCACTATACTCAGTGCTTTCCATAGGAGCTGCCAACTCTTCCGCCTCTCCTGCAGAGACAGGCCTCTCTCTTCACCTGCTATTAAAAAAAAAGGAGGAGGAGGAAGAGGAGGGAACCCAGGACATGCCAGGAATGTAATATGACACCACATGCCAGGGAGGATTTTATTTAAATCAAATTGATTCATCTCACAATTTAAATTTACTTCAATACTGGATATATTTTTGACAATTTATATTTTAAAAATTATTTTTAAAAATTTAAATATTGATTTTAAACCAATTTGATTTTTAAAAAAAATCATTTATTTTTATCCACCCTGCCTTACGCTCTGAAAAGGCTATGGTTCTTCCTCATTAAGAAAAACCATTCTGTTTTTGTTATATGTGTAGGAGGAAAAACGGATGCCCAGTGTGGTGTAGTAACAGACAAGGACTCTGGCGGTTCAAATCCCGGCTCTGTCACACAAACTCACTGGGGCAGTGGAACTCACAAAACCACTCGTCAAGTTAACATGTCTTTCAGAAAGGGTAAAGAACCAGAAATCAAGACCATGGAGGTCGCTGGGCCTAAGAGTCCGACAATGCCAGAGCGGAAAGCCACACATCAGGCGGGGGTACCGGTGACTCACACCCAAAGAGGTCTGGTGAATTCTCACGAGTAATTGACTGAGTAGACTTCACAACTCCAAAATCAGGCACAGAAAGGTCGACACTAATGAATGGAATCGGCAGAATCCTTCACACACAAAAGCTTTTACTCCTCTTTCAAGTAGGCCTGGATCATGTTCACATCATGTTAAACTGAGCTACATCAGAAGCCCTCACCCCATTTCTGATATCGCTTAACAAGTTTCCACGATTTCACACAAAGCATGCTTCATAACAATGAAGGTTTACAGCAATGAAGACTAGAAATATTTATTTCCAGTTGAGCTGCTCTATGAAGTTGTCCCCCCAAAAAACGTCCAGAGGTGTGTGTGTTTCTGGACACCAATAACAATACCATTCATTTGCCTTCACCACCCTTTAAAATGCTATCTTAATGGGTTCATCCTCAGTTCCTGGAATCCTTACCTGGCATTAGAAACAAAAAGAAATGATAAGAAAATGTGGCCACAGAATCCTGGAATAACAGTGGGAAGAGGCCTATAACAGTGGTCCCCAACCTTGGGCCTCCAGATGTTCTTGGACTACAACTCCCAGAAGCCTTCACCACCACCTCTGCTGGCCAGGATTTCTGGGAGTTGAAGTCCAAGAACATCTGGAAGCCCAAGGTTGGGTACCACTGGCCTATAAGACCACAGAATCCAAGCCCCTGCTCAGCGCAGGAATCCAAATCAAAGTACAGTATATCTGACAGATAGTGTCCCGATTTTCTCTTGGATGCCTCCAGTGTTGGAGCACTCACTTCCTCTCAAGGTAATTGGTTCCATCATCATGCTGTTCTAACAGTTCGGAGGTTTTTTCCTGATACTCAACGGAAACCTGGTTTCCTGTAACCTGAGCCCATTATCATGTCCTGTAGTCTGCGTCCTGATACTCAGTGGAAACCTGGTTTCCTGTAACTTGAGCCCATTATCATGTCCTGTAGTCTGCGATGATCAAGAACAGATCCTCCTGCCCCTTCCTCTGTGTGGCTAACTTTAGGGTACAGTATTTGAAAATTCCTGTCTTATCTCCACTTCATCTTTTTTTTTCCCCCTCAAGGCTAAACATGCCCAGTTCTTTCTGTCTTTCCTCCCAGGGCTTGGTTTCCAGCTTCCTGAACATCCTCTGTTGCCTTCCTCGTAACCGGCTCCGGTTTGTAGGCATCCTTGTTAAAGAATTGGACACAGCGCTCAAATGAAGCCTAGAGAGTTCTGAACAGAACAGTACTTATGGTTGTGGTGGGTTTTTCGGGCTCTTTGGCCGTGTTCTGAAGGTTGTTCTTCCTAACGTTTCGCCCGTCTCTGAGGCCAGCATCTTCAGAGGACAGCCGGCCACAGAGACGGGCGAAACGTTAGGAGGAACAACCTTCAGAACACGGCCAAAGAGCCCGAAAAACCCACCACAACCATTAGATCCCGGCCGTGAAAGCCTTTGCGAATATATAGAACAGTACTTCTTAGGATCTGGAGACTCAACTTCTGTTAATGCAAGCTAAAATAGCATTTTGCTTTTTTAAAAAAAATATTTTGCTGCCACATCATACCAAGAGTCCTCTCATTCTGTTTTATCGCACTGGTGTGTCATTCAAGCACTGCAGCTTGAGCAAAACAGGCTTGATCAAGAAAGAGGATCTGTGAGGAGGAAAGCAAAGGCACCTCAAGGAAATCCTCACAACCCTGGGTTAGGACAGGACGAACTCAACTCTAGTCATATTTTTAAACTGGCTCTGCATAGGTGTGCCAACGGCTGATTGCGTATTTCTGGAGCAGAAAACTCTGGAAAGTCGGGCCTTCCTTGTTATTGGGGGGGGTTCACTCCAGATCCCAAAGATCCAAGATGCCAGGTGACCCAACAGGTGACCAGGAGGACAATGGTCCCAAATCGGAGGAAAAGGAAATCTGAAGGAAGACCATCTTCCAGGACCTCAAAACAAAACAAAAAAACACCAAACCTGCTGCTCTCTTGAGGAGGAATAAAAACAACCCAGGCATGTTTGAACTCATAAGGATCCAGGTGAGCCAGCCGGCCCACCCCTCAGGGCTTACCTTTGAGCAGAGGAAGAGGCGTGAGCTCTTGCTGGTTGCTCTGGTACCGGAACTGGGAAGAACTGTGGGAGCGTCTCTGGCGAGAACGGCGCAGGGAGCGGCGGGAGAAGCCGTCCACTTTATCGGGCGGGGGCACCGGGGACAGCCCCGGAGAGGACGGGCTGGTGGGGGTCACCGCGGGAGGGATCTTGGTCTCCATGATCCGCAGCAGGTGTGGAGCTCAGGTGGACGCCTCACCTGGGGGAGGCCAAGAGGAGGAGAAGGAGGAGGAGGAAACTCCCCCTAATACCCCACCAAAGCGGTGCCGGAGAATCCCCTCGTCGGGTGCAGCAGCAGCAGCAGCAGCAGCCACCCCATGACAAGGGGGGAGGCCTCGTTGGGTGGGCCACCTTCGGGCTCCTAGCTCCTCTCCGGAAAGGTGGCCTTCACGTCGGCGAGGATGCTTCAGAGCTCCAAAGGCGCTGTACGTACATCCAGGACTACCGGTGGCCTGCTCAGCGTCCGTATCAGAAGGAATCCCAAACAACACATGTACCCAATGGGTCAAGAAAGCGGTCAGTTCCACCGAGGCGGCCCTCTTGGAGTGAAAAGGAGAGGGAGGGCCTCCCCCCACAAATATCCAGGCCCCAAGGCTTGCTTCCAGGCCCACTGAGGATGATGGGGGCTGAGGAGGAGGGCACAGGTCCCCCCCGGGCTCACCAGGAAGAGGCCCGGGTGCCTTTCTGGGACAGAGGCTCCCCCATCAGCCAGAGAATAAAATCCACAGGTGCTGGTGGGGGGGCCCTCCCTTGAACAGAAGGGGTTCAGCCTCCCCCTCCCCAAAAAATAAAACTTTGCAGCAGCTTGAAGGGCAGAGGGTGGCGGAGGAGACCCGGGCGGGGCCAAGCCGACGGAAAGGCGAGGGCCGGGTCCTTAGCCCCGCAACG